GCGATGCCGATGGCTTTGCGGGTGAGCCACGAGATGCCTTGCTGTTGGGGCAGGCCGTTAGATGGCTGGTTTCCCGCGCGTGGTGGAATATATGTATACTTACGAGTGAGAGAATCGGGTCGGTGTCGTTGGATGTAGATTTGTCCTGGTATTCGTTAGGGATGGTTCGCCTGAAGCAGCCAGAGGCTTACCATGCAGAAGCGACCATTGAGGTTCTGGATGGTGATATCAGCGGGAGCGGCCATCTTGAGTTGGTTTGGCGGGGTGAGCTATGCGACTGCGTGGGATGAGACGACAATAGCAGAACGGTAAAAAATGAATCCCAACACAGCAGATCAGACGGGCGAGGTCATTAATATAGTCGTAGCTACAAGATGCCAGATCCTCGACAACTAAACTACGTGAGCCTCGGAGCAGCGAGTTGATGCTGAAGCTGCAATCATGTGGAATCCTGGAGACGGCCGCCAAGCGCCAGCCGTCTGGTGGGCTCCGCAAGCACATGCTTTTCATTTTTATCATCTTTTCATTCTTTCGGTGCGGAATTGCAGTTGGAACGGGGATGCATTCCATGGAACCGTCGCTCCGGAATGGCCAGCGAGTCGGAGGGTGAGTGTGCCTGGCGTTGGCTTAGTGAGATGCAGCCATTTGATATCGTTCTCCTTCTCCTTCTCTCTTCTCCTTCTCTCTGTCCCTCCGGCTGTCTTTATCTCTCTCTCTTGAGTCTCTTCTCTCGATGTTTCCGTCTGAAAAAGGGGCGGATGGCGCTAGTAATGTATTGTGGTAACACTCCGTAATGTGTATCATTAGTCATCAATTTACATCACGTGAGGCTATATAGACAAAACGGGCGCGCGACAAGAAGCAAGCAGCACGACGGCAAAGAGATGCTGGAGCATTGATTGATCTGGGCGAGAGACCATGGCCTTTAACAAAAAGTATGCTGGTCTGCCCGACCTGGTGAGCGTGTCCTGCCTGCCCAAGCCTGACTGCAACTGACTGGGCACCTAGGACCTCGCGCCAGACATCTATGAAACCCCCGAGCTGACCGATGATTCTACTGTGCCTGTGAGAGTGCATCGGTTCCCCCCCAAAGAAACAGGCCCTGGTGTTTTGACTATTTACTCCTAGACGACCACTGTCCGCTCGCCGTCTCCGTTCCAAGAGGAATCTTCCACCCCAGGGATCGACAGACACCGCCTGCAACCCGACCATGCACGCTCGCAATTCGAGCCCGTGAGGGTGGATGCGCGAGACGTGGACTTTTCAGATAGCATCGCATCGAAGCGGAGATCATATCGCACCGTTAAGCGCGCGAGACGGAGGCGAGATGACGGGACAGAGGTGCTGGGAGATATCAGTGACGAGGAGGAGGAATCGCTGGAACGGAAGCTGGCAAGATTGCGTCGAGAGGCAGAGGAATTGAAGGACGAGCTTGCCAGTAGAACGGCACAGCGGGCTGAGCAAGAGATGGGAACGGACAGCCAGGCTACAGATGAAGAGATTCTGGAACTTAGTCGATCTCTGGACAAACTCTACGCATCCTCAAAAGGAGAGCCAGCCGCATTCCCGTCAGAAGTGGCTTTGACGCGGAGTCTCTCCACTGAAGTCCGTCTTCTCTGGAACTCTGAGAATTCAGCTAAGGCTGCGAAGTCTTCCAACTTCCACCCTACACCACCCCTTTGTCGATTCTGTCAAACGCGGCATCCTTCGACGCTCGACTCCGACTCCTCGAGGCCGCTCTCGGACTATCCCAAACCCCCATTGGCCTATCCCCAAATGACTCCCCCGAATCCGATCTCCAACCCATCCTCCCTACCCTGCACCACCTCTCTTCCCAGCTCTCCACCCTAACCAGCACCCTCACCGGCTCCCCCTCCACCGGCCCGCCCGCCCTCCCCACGACCCTCACAACCCCCCACCTCGAAAGCCTCACTACCCGCATCCGCAAACTCACCGCCGACGCCGAAGCCCTCACCGTCGCCCGCCGCCGCGCCACCGAAGCCGCGCGCGCCGTCCTCGCCGCACGCATCGCCGCCGCAACCACAGACGAACCCCCCGAAGTCCCCGCCGCCGCCGCGCACGCCACGCCGACGGAAACTGAAGCCGCGGCCAGCGAGCAGGCGGCCAAGATCCAGGCGCTGTACACCACGCTGCCCACCATCACGTCGCTGCATCCGCTGCTGCCCAGTGTGCTGGAGCGCTTGCGGTCGTTGAGGGCGATTCATGCTGGGGCGGCGAGGGCGGGTGAGGATCTGGGTGGGTTGGAGCGGAGGCAGGCGGAGATGAAAAAGGAGATTGAGCGGTGGAGAGAAGGGCTGAAGGCTATGGAGGAGCGGGTGAAGGAGAGTGAGGCGACGATGAAGGGGAATGTGGAGGTTATGGGTCCGTGGATTCGAGATCTTGAGAGGAGGTTGGATGTCATTGGCAAGTAGTGTTTTGCGGCATCTTCCTTTGCTTTTTGCTCGCGAGATTTTACTCGTATTGTTCATACCCCCCCTGATATCCACTATTGTCAATCCGAAAGTCTTTATAATAATACAAATCTACCATCATTCGCAACGGAAGGCGTCTCAGTTCTTGATCTGCTTCATGATCCTGATCTTCGGCTCCATCCTCACTTCCGCCCACCATCCCCGCGTTATATATCTCCTGGCAATCGCTCTTCACCCACTCCCAGGCCCTCACACCCTCATCCCAA